GCTTTTGGTTAGTGTTTGCATGGTGTATAATTTTTTCTGTTCTTACCTGTATCCTTATGGTTTAGATGTTGTTTTAGTTATCTAGTGCTGCTATAACAGAAATACCACAAGTGGGTAGCTTTAACAAACAGAAATTTATTTTCTCAGAGTTAGGAGGTTGGGAGTCTGAAATCAGGGCGCTGGCTCTAGGGGAAGCCTTTTTCTGTGTTAGCTCTGGGAGAAGGTCCTTGTCTTTTCAGCTTCAGTTCCTTGGCTCCTTGGTGATCCTCATGTGGTGTGGCATCTGTTTTCCCCCATTTCTGCCCCCCATTCTCTGCCTAATGAGCCTTCTTTATATCTCAGAGGTGATTGCCTTAAGACACACCCTACACTGATAATGCCCTTATTAAGATGATAAGGAAAACCCTAGTCCCAAATGGAATTACATCCACAAATATTAGGCATAAGTAATTATAGCACATGTTTTTGGAGGACACAATTCAATTCATAACAGATGCATTTAGTTTTTAAAAAACCATTTTAATAATCTTTGTCCTTTAATTGGAGTACTTAGTCTATTTACATTCAGTATAATTGCTCTGATATATTTAGGTTCAAGCCTTCTATCTCAGGGGCTGGGAACTTTTTCTTCTAGAGGGTCAGAAAGTAAATATTTTAGGATATGTGGGCCACCTGGTCTCTGTTGCAACTACTTCAGTTTGCAATTTAACCATAAAAACAGCCATAGCCAGCATGTAAATGAATGAGCATGATTGTGCTCCAATAAAACTTCTTTTTTTTTTTTTTTACAAAAACAAGTGTTGGGCCATATTTGGCCCATGGGGCTGTAGTTTTCCGACCCCTGTACTGTTTTACTATTTGCTTTCTATTTGTCCTACCTTTTTGTCCTCTTATTCTCCTTCTTTTGGCTTATTTTTTTTAATTCCGTTTTTTTCCCCTTTATTAGTTTATAAGTAATACACTCCTTTAGTACTCTTTGAAGGAGCCATGGTGGTGCAGTGGTTGAGTGCTCGGCTGCTAATCAAAAGGTTGCTGGTTTGAGCCCACTAGCCACTCCATGGGAGAAAAGACCTGGCGATCTGCTCTGTAAAGATTTCAGCCTAGGAAACCCTATGGGACAGTTCTGCTCTGTCATATAGGGTCACTATGAGTCGAAATCAACTCAAGGGCATACAACAACTACAGCTACTCTTTTAGTGGTTACCCTGGAGATTACAACATATTTTTTAACCTATTAACTTCTAGTAATTGATACTTTTACCCTCTTCCTGAAACTGCAAATACCTTAGAACACTACCCACCTCCTGACTTATATACCTTTCTTTGTGTATGTGTGTTTCTAATGAACCTCTTTGTAGCTATTACCCAGCTTGGAAAGTTGTCACATCATGGTCACTCTTATTCTGTATTACTGGATTGTTATGAAGCAGATCTTAGATTTAGAAACATTGCGTTTTATCTGTAAACGTTTTAGATTTATCTCTAGAAGATGAACGCTTAAAAAAAACAAACACACTATGTTAACCTGTCTAAAAATATAGTAATACTTTCTTAAGGTTATCACATATACAATTAGTGCTAGATTTTTCTCAGTTTTGTGTGCCTGTCTCTGCCTCACATGCACACATGCGTGCACACACACACACACAGTTGGTTTCTTTTGATGAGGATCCCTCCAAGATCCACATATTATGTCATTTTGCTATTTCTTTTAAATCTCTTAATCGATAGATCCCTCTTTCTCTTCTCTCCTTTTGTTTTTGTTGTTGAATAAACCAGGTTATTTGTTCTGTAGAGTGTCCCACATCCTGAATTTTACTAATTGCATATCCATAGTTTTATTTAACATTTTCCTTTGTCCTTGTATTCCCTGTAAATTGGCATTTAAATCTAGCAGCTTCATCAAATTCAGTTCAATGTTTTGGCAAGAATGCTTCTTAAGTGGTATTGTGTACTTCCATTGGAGGCATATAATATCTGGTTGTGTTTATTTTGTGATGTTAGTGGCTATTGATGATTATCTTCTACATCCGTTATTTCATTAGGAATTTATTTTCATTTCTGAAGGATATTTTTGTTAGGTATGGAATTCTAGTTGGCAGATATTTTCTTTCAGTTCTTTGAAGATCATTCCATTACCTACCATTGACATGTTAGCTATCAGTCTAATTATTGTTCTTTTGAATGTATTTTTTGTTGGTGGGGGGAGGGTTTGGCTGCTTTTAAGATTATCTATTTGTCTTTGATTTTCAGCAGTTTTACTATGATATGACTAGATAGAGATTTCTTTTTTTTAATCTTCTTAGGGTTTGTTGGATTTGTGGCTTGATTTTTTTTGGCCAGTTTTGGAAAACTATTATTATCTCTTCAAATATTGCTTCTGCCCCATACATTCTCTCTTTACACATATGTTGACTTTCTTACTTTGTCCTTATGTCTCTTTTGTTTTCCATTCGTTTGTCTCTCTGAACTTCATTCTGGGATAGATTCTTCTCACCTGTTTTCCAGTTTACTAATTCTTACTTCAGTGTAGCAAATCTGCTGCTAGACCCATCCATTGAGATATTAATTTTCATTATTGTATTTTTTCATGTTTAGAATTTACACTTTCAAATTTACTCTGTTTTTCCCCTACTCCTTTTAAATGATTCCCAGTTCTCTACTGAAATTCTTGATCTGATTTATTATCTCATTGAACGTAATGCATAAACTCATAGTTTAAGCTTGGTAACCTCAACATTTGGAACTCTGCTAACTTGTTTCTGCTAGATTTTATTCACGTTGTCTTGTTTCCTTGTGTGCGTAGTTGTTTAATGAATGTATATAGGATGTCCGTAAGTATTAGACAGCAAGGTTTGAAAAGATCTGTTTTGTAGTCCCTGTGAGGGCTTGCTACTTAAATGGTTCAACCTTTCCCGTAGGGTGATGCCTTTTGCAGTCTCAGTTTAAAGGGCATGGGATTTACCATGCTTCCTACGTTTGGCAGACCTGAACTCTAAGTGTTTGCCTTACTCCTTGAGGCTATCAAAAGCTCTGCTTCACTTATTTAACCTCTCACCTACCTCCTTTAGATGTCTCCAAGGGAAAAGCTGCCCCATATACCTGGCTCACTTTTCTTGATATCCTTCTCCTGGATCTTGGCCTACTGATTTTAAACTGCCTTTTTAACTCTATGAAGCGTTTTAATTAGCACCCTCTCCCCCTTATTTTGTCTGGTTATTCTCAGTGGGAGGCTTTTGTCTCACTTATCTAGTTCAGTATTACTGGAAATTCAACAACGTTTTCTTGCTGTTTGAGCTTATCCATTAAAATATTAATATTCCTTCCTGTATTTTTTAAAATTACCAAAGTATTACCCTTGTATTATAGTATATTAAAAAAGTACAGAAAAGTTTAAAGGAGCAGAAAAAAACGTCACAGTGTCACCAGTGAGAGACAGTTATGGTTAGTATTCCTTTTACTTAGAGAGCTGGTTTTTGTGGGAATGGGGTTAGGAAGGAGTTTGGAGATGAGCTTAGTTTGGATACTTTGAGTATCAAGTGATTAAGATATCCAAGTATAGTTATGATTGAGGCATTTAAAAATATTGAATGGATAGTTTGGTGGAAGAGTAGTGTGGAGATATGGATTTG